AAATTTTTCACAAACCCCGAGTTTGTCTTTTTTTACCGAGAGCTACTCAGACATCCAAATACTCTGAAATTTGGCAAAGACATCACGCATTCAGTCATCATTCTCCACAAAAAAATGAAACTTTTTTAGTTTATTTCGTATTTTTAACGATTTGTTTATTAACTTTCGGGCTCATCTGAGCCTCGGAGCCAAAATGCCTTGTCCTGAAACTGTTGCTACACGTGAAGTCTTCTCTCCACAAGTTAATTAATTTGCCTTCTTTAGTTCATAGGAATTTTATAGGAATTCTAAAGGATAGGAACTTTGTAGGAAAAAATTCTTTTGAAACCCTTTGGTTTATAGAAACGGATTCATATTCTTGTGCAGAATAGTAGGAATCAACCCTTCACATATCAATTTAAAATAATTAGTCTAGACTCAATGCATATGACATCTCTTTCCAAGAATTAAGATGCATGTCATCTCCCTTCCTTTGATTTTCTTATTCATATATGATTATTCCTATCATATGAACCAAAGGAGGTCTAAACATGATGCCGCCCCTTGGAGGAGTTCTTTAAATAAAACACATAAGAACAAGGTTCACATCACACATGTCCTCTCCAAGCATCCAAAGTAAGAGACACATCAAGATCCGCAACCAACAAAGGAAAAGATAAATATCAAGGTCTTCCCAAGTTTCTAAGAGAGATGAGGCCTTAAGAGATAGTCCTCTCTAAACCCCAGGAGCGATGGGGGTCTTGATGAGTGATATTTATGCGTTTATTCCACCATTGCTTAAACTAGATAATTCAGAATTTTTAAGAGAATCACTCTGATATCGCCACTAATAACTATTGAATGTAAGTTATTTTGAAATCCTTTGTTTATTATGTTTCTCCAGTAAATGGGCTCAAATATGGATGAATATCATCACACAGACACAAGAGGAAACAAGAAGTGTGGAGAAGAAGGAGAGGAATTGGAGGAGCAACAATGCATCCAAGTGCAAGACGACGCAAGGTACAAGTGTGCCCGCTCGTACCCACACTCGTACTACCCATCGTGGGCTCCAGCACATCTACCTGATCAACATCTATAAAGGGGTCGACACCAGAATCACAACAGAGAGAGCAATATTCATGAAACAGACAACCAGAAGCCATTCCCATCTCATCTCCGTAGTTACCACCACCTTCATCAGTGCAACCATTCTCCCCAAGTTAGGCGTACCTGTAATTGGTGTATCACATCTGGCAAGTATTGTAAGACATATTATCAATCAATCATTTGTCTTTACGTCATCTTCAATGAGTTTGTCTTGTGATCCGACCGCCATATGTGAGTAATTCAGTAAGGCAATTGGTTGAGGCAAGGCTTTGCAACCCTATGTATTTGTGCACGGGATCGTTGGTATGACTTTGTATATTTTTTACTTTATTTATATGTGTCCGATTGCAATGGGGATGTCTCATGTCTTCTTCTCGTTCTAAGGCCCCGGGGTACTCGGGATCCCATAGACCAATTAAGGAGAAGGTAAGGAGCAAGAAGGCTATGGAACTCTATCCCGAAGAGTGGTGAACTCTATCCCGAAGAGTGGTGAGAGAAGGGATAATACGGTAGCGGAAAACAATTCCTTGGGGATAAATAAGGTGTAGTCATTAAATGTCAACAGATTTTATCTGAATATTTATTATTAATAACCAAGGTACCATCGCGTGACAGTAAGGGCCATCGGTTAGACAACTTACTCTTGATGCAGGTTGAGCACCGGCCAAGACTTACCATGGGCATATCCCCCACTTCATCGCATAGCAAGCACATCATATTGGTTGTCTTCCAGAGCTATGTTTGTTATCAAGATAAGATCCCAAGCACAAATATAAGGTTGAGAGTAAGACCTAATACCCATGTTTTTTTTCATATAAGTGTTTGCACCCAAAAGGGTGTTAAAAGTTTGGTTTAAAAACTGGAATTTAATTCGATAACAATAACTTGTTTGATTCTTTGTCGTAGTGCACATCCTCTCGTGGTTCGATGACCCTGAGTCACTCCCTGGGAAAAGGTACGGGAACCTTCTGCTATTCAAACCGGTTCTCAAAAGGCATCAACCATGATCCAATAGAGAATTCTTCTCCCTGTGAGGTCTTGAACCTCTAGGAGGAGATAAGACAAGCATAGCTCTCTCAAGGTCTAGGTAATTGTTTTACTGACCCTAAAACTGAAGGGGGACAAAAACTATTTTTTTGAGAAACGGGGGACAAATATTAGGTGTAAGGGGGTACGGGTCAGACAGGCTACATGGGTTTGATGGCGGGTTCTTGGTGATATCCATGGGTTCCTCTGCACTATTAACCCATCTCATCTTGTGGTGAGTAGTGTAATGCATGCCCGTCACTTGTCGCAATCACAGAGTATTGGTGAGTTTTCTAACCCCGTGCGTGAAGATGGGAGGTTGAATTTGTGTTTTTTGGTATACTTGTATTTTTAAATGATTTATCTCTTAAACCGTGTGTTCAAATTATGAACCGTTTTCATCATTGTTTTTCTCGCATTGAGATCTTCAAAATTAGATCCTATGTGAAGAGGGTTCACTGAATATTTTTCCAAGCAAATATGTGCATCCAGCGTGACCTAAACTGTGTTCCCAAGCGTTTTGCATCAATAGACGTGCTACGCACATGGGCTCCTCCCGACTAGGCTTGCCCAGTGGAGCCGTGAGCACCGAGCAGGAATGAACTGTACCGAGTCGGCTACCGTAGAGATCATGTTCACCCATGCGAACCAGACACTTTTGCAGCTTCATTATAGCGAACCATTTTTTGGTCTTTTTTTATTTCAAACAATTTATGAAAACACAAATATCTTTTGAAATTTCTGATTATTTTTTGTAAACACAAACAAGTTTTGAAGTTTCATTTTTTGGAAATTGGGAACTTTTTTCTAAAACATGAACAATTTTTGAAATCTCCCAAACATGTAAACATGATTCTTTTTTGAAAATGTATTAACCTATTTTAAAAAAATATATTTGAAATTCTAAACATCTGTTTGAAAACATGAACATATTTTGAAAAAGCAAATATTTTTAAATTTTGTAACTATTCTTTGAAAACACACACATTTTTTGAAATTTGAACTGACCTGAAAGGCGAATAAGTTTTAAAATTTTCGAACATTTTTTGGAAACAAGAAGATTTTTTGGAACCAAACACTTTCGCACATTTTCCAGACATTTTTTCATAAATTCATGATATTGTGTAAAAATTAAAAGAAAATAAAATAAACAGAAAAAAAGCAAAAGAGGAAAAGTGAAAAATCGTAAAAACGAGTAAAGAAAACATATAGAAAAAGAAATTGTTATGGAACCTTAAACCGGTAGAAAATCATACACTATGCTACGCTAAACAATCCGGCCCACCAGATCGCTCGCCTTCCTCACCGAAGGATTAGCAGGAAATGGTCCACAAATGTTCTGGCCAAGCCCGCTAACGCGTTGCCGCGCGACTGGTAACTGGGCCGGCCATTAAACGCGTAGATGTGCAGTGAATTATTTT